CAATATGGTACAAAACAGTGGGCTATAGACTAAAACTTCATTTCATTTCATAAGTCCAATAAGATACAGAACAGTGGGATATAAAACTCCATTTCATTTCATTGGTCCAATAAGATACAGAACAGTGGGATATAAAACTCCATTTCATTTCATAAGTCCAATAAGATACAGAACAGTGGGATATGAAACTCCATTTCATTTCATAAGTCCAACATGGTACAGAACAGTCGGATATAAAACTCCATTTCATTTCATAAGTCCAATATGGTACAAAACAGTAGGATATAAAATTCTAATTCATTTCATTAGTCCAATATCGTGCAGAGCTGTGGGATATAAAGCTCCATTTCATTTCATAAGTCGAATATGGTACAGAACAGTAGGATATAAAACTCCATTTCATTTCATAAGTCGAATATGGTACAGAACAGTAGGATATAAAACTCCATTTCATTTCATAAGTCCAATATAGTACAAAACAGTAGGATATAAAACTCCATTTCATTTCATAAGTCGAATATGGTACAGAACAGTAGGATATAAAACTCTAATTCATTTCATCCGTCCAATAAGATATAGAACTGCAGGATATAAAACTCTATTTCATTTCATTAGTCCAATAAGGTACAGAACAGTAGGATATAAAATTCTAATTCATTTCATTAGTCCAATATGGTACAAAACAGTAGGATATAAAACTCTAATTCATTTCATCCGTCCAACATGGTACAGAACAGTCGGATATAAAACTCCATTTCATTTCATAAGTCCAATATTGTACAAAACAGTAGGATATAAAATTCTAATTCATTTCATTAGTCCAATATCGTGCAGAGCAGTGGGATATAAAACTCTATTTCATTTCATTGACCCAATATACACAGAAGAATGAGATATAAAACTCCATTTCATTTGATTAGTCCAAAACGGTACAGAATAGAATAGTGGGTTAAAAAAAAATCATTTCATCGGTTCAATAAGATCTAAAAAGATCAGACCTAAAACCCTATTCCATGTAATTTCAGGGGCTGCTATATCCCAGCTGATCACCCCTCTGGTGATGTGTGAACTACATTGTGTGAAAAACCTCGGAGCCCCTCCCGAGCCAGACTCAGATGGTTCCAATGGCGTATTTGAAAGTTGCAAACGGGACTGTATGCATAAAAATCTGTAAGTAATGAAATAGGAGAGATGTGTTTTATTATTCGGATTGCCAATTTCACTTGTCAGGAAGAAAAGCTGACTCCTGGTTTGTCTGCAATGAAATCAAATGCTCACGTTCATTGAGTGAAATTAGTTACAGTCAGCGAGTTTGGTTGTCTCTGATAGGCCGTAGGTTCGAATCCTTCGCATGGAAAGAAAAGTTTTAATATCACTGCCAGTGATTTCGAATCCGATTCGGAGCCTTGTTTATCTGCACATTTAGGCTACGTTCCCGATAAAATCGCGCGTTCTAACAAATTTCCGGTTAATTGAAACTATTTACATATATTCCAGGCCAAAACAACCTTTGAAAATGGAATACAGATGGGTTTCCTTATTTTTTAGTGTCAAATTAAGCAAACTATTTGATTAATTTGTGTTTCTAATGAATTATCGTGTATTCTTAATCATGGCATTATGTTCTTATTGCATATAAATTAAGAGTTTGAACCAATCATAAATGTGTGTAATATTCAAATCATTTCATTTGCTAGTCGAATCAAACTTGCCATGGCTCGAAATATCGCATAGAAGACAAAGCGGATCAAAGACAAACCCGGATGAATAACTTTTTTTTTTGGAACACCTCTACTTATTGCTATTCATATAAGTATTAGCACTTTCATTTTCATAAATAAATATAAGGGAACCCATCTTTCAACATCTATATAACCAGGCCTGTAATGTGCCTCCCTCCCGGAAAAAATATCCACCCATCGACCCATTTCATTACTTCAACAAACCACAGAACCCAATTGCCATTCTGGGTATATTATGTTAAACGTGTTATTATTTTTTTCAGGTTTGAACATTCGTTTGGCAATGAAGGAAATATTGTATAAAAAAATAAAGAAAGTTGTAATTTAAATATGTTCTCTTTTCTTGCTTCCTTCAATGAATGTTCTAATTGATGAAGGGGCGTCGGCTACAGGAGAAGGCTTTAGCTTGGATTCGGAATCTAGGCGGCCGTATCCCTT